AAATATTGCTCGGGTCCTCGGATACCCAGACTCCCAAATATTTCATTCTATGGTGACACCAATGAAATGCGAACTCTGATTCCAAAGACCGGAATTCCTCCGTGGGGAGCGTTATATTCAGGACCTCGCATTTCGAAACGTTAAGCTTGAATCCGGATATCCGTCCGTATCTATCCAATTCCGCGAGGAGGCACGGCAGTGTGATCCTGGGGTTGCTCACAAAGAAAAGGAGATCATCAGCATATGCTGCTACTTTGTGAATCACCTCCTTCCATTCGTAACCCTGTATGTCTGGGTTTTGGCGAATTGCCTGAAGTAGGGGCTCCAGGGATAGTGCGAACAATAGGGGTGAGAGCGGACAGCCCTGGCGGGTTCCGTTGTTGATTGCGAAATCCTTGGTCGTGGCTCCGTTAACCCTTACAGATGCACGTGGTCTACTATATATCGCAGATATCCACGTAAGGAGTCTCTGACCACATCCTTGCCATCGCAGAGTTTCCAACATATATTTCCAGTTGACACGGTCAAATGCTTTTTCAGCATCTGTTGACAACAGGAGTAACCGTGTCCCTGATTTTCTCGCGTGGTGCTGTATGGAAAAGAGTCTCAACGTGCTATCTCTAGCCTCCCTACCCGGAATGAAGCCCGTCTGATCCGCGTGTATGAGATCTGGGAGTAGATGTTTGAGTCGAGTCGCTAGGACCTTCGTGAACAATTTGGCATCAACGTTCAGTAATGAGATCGGTCTGTAACTACTACACTGCAATGGGTCCTTCCCCGGCTTGAGTAAGACCGTGATGGTGGCTGCTAGGGATTCTTTCCCCAGAGACCCACCCTCGCCGACGGCATTAAGTGCTTTGGTGAGCCAGGGTAACAATATACCAGAGAAATTTTTATAGTACCCTGTGGAATAACCATCCGGACCGGGTGATTTACCCGTTTTGGACGCCTTAAGTGCTGCAGCTAATTCTTCCACGGTTATCGGAGCATCTAATAGTGTGGCTGAGTCCTGATTGATCGTTTTGGCGACCGTACCAGATAGGTAATCCCGTGTCTTGGCGTGTACTCTCGCGTCTTCAGCGGCTCCGTTAGGTTCATAGAGATTGTATAAGCGTTCATAAAACGACCGAAACTCCTCCGCAATTTTCTGTGGGAACGGGGAGATCTCCCCCGAGGTCAGACGGATCTTATGTATTTGTCGGTGAGGTTGGGGGCCTTTGAGCAGTCTCGCCAGATACTTGCCCCCTTTATTGGCGTGTACATAGTAAAAGCCCTTCGTGCGTTGTACCGAGCGGAGATGTCTTTTCAAAATAAGGTCTGTAAGTTTCCTCCTTTGTTCCATTAGCTCACCGTATATCGCATTAAGCTGAGAGCGTTTATGTTGGCGTTCCAGATTCGAGATATTTCTACATAATTCGGCCATGTCATGCATGAGAGCTTTACGCTTCTGGGAAGCGATGCGTATGAATGTGCCCCGAATCACACTTTTGTGGACCTCCCAGATGGTGATTGGGGAGGACTCTGGGGTGTCATTTTCTCTGAAGTATTGTTCTAAGGCTTGTTGGATCTGTGTCTTGGTGTCCAGGTCGAGCAGCAGAGTTGGATTAAGTCTCCAGGTCCAGTTCTTCGGTCTGTATAGAGGTGAGTTCAGTTCCATCTCGACCGAGCCATGGTCCGACCAAGTAGCTGTTTCAATTTTGGCACTACATAGGTGAGAAAGGCCTTCTTGTGCAATAAGGATATAGTCTATACGTGAGTAACGGTTGTGGAGAGCTGAGTAGTAGGTGAAATCTTTTTCCATGGGATGAAGGGCCCTCCAACAGTCCACAAGTCGCAGGGCTTCAAACGACTGTCGGATGGATCTAATACTGTGTTGTGGTAGGCAGCTATGACCTGTGGAGGAGTCCAGTGTTGGGTCGAATGGAGCATTAAAGTCCCCTCCTACCACTAGTATCCCATCTGTAAAGTTTTCCAGTTGGAGCAATGTGTTGTGAATGAATGGGGCCTGCCTCTTGTTGGGGACATATATATTCGCTATCGTGTATATCTTGTCAGCTATGGTGCCTTTAAGGAAGAGATACCTTCCCTGTGAATCTTGCACACGTTCCAGTTCTTTAAAGTCCAGCTCCGCGGCCAATAGTGTAGCTACTCCAGATTTATGCGCAGTCGGGTGATTGCAGAAGTAATTATTAGGGAAGTGCCTATTACGCAAGTTAGGGGTTGACCCCTCCTTAAAGTGCGTTTCTTGAAGCATAGCGATCATGACGCGCTTTTTCCTCAGTTCGCGCAGCAGGTGCATCCGTCGTTCGGGGATGTTGAGCCCTCTGCAGTTCTGCGTGAGGAAACGCAGGGGTGCGCTTTGGTAAGCCATACTCACTATATGTGACGGTGGAGATCCGGGGATGTCACCAATTGTCCTGAGAGTCAGGAAGGATCACGGGTCCGGTGCGCAGGCAGGTCGACGCGTTACAGTGGAGAGGGGATGGGGCGAGTGTGGAGGGAAGGAGGGAGGGGGGGAGAGGGTAAGAAGGGGGGGGATGCAACAGCAGATGTCAGCAGTGGGTGATCCGAGCCCGGGGCGGGGAGGGCCAAGCCGAAGGCGCCGTGTGCGAGTGAGCGAAGTTGGATATCCCGTGTGTAGGTAACCCCCCGTACTCCGTTAGGGTCCTAGTTGTAATATCCCTCTAATGTGTGAGGTGGACTCGCGCGGTAACCAGTATCAGTTGGACCCAGTTCCGGGGCCAGCCCAGGAATCTAGGGATCCGCCGTCTGGTCACCAGCCTACTAGCACGAGTAAGTGTGTTAGAGAACGCGGCTCGAGCACCAGCCAAGTAAGGTATCCGAGAGTCGATGGGTCAGATATGAGGTTTTCCGCTCCACCAGAACCCCCCAGTTAAGAATTGAGCCGGCCTTAGCATCATGCAAACAAAGCGTAATCACAATAAAGGCATAAAATTATTAACATCAAACATTATAAAACCGGATATGAAGCCTATATCAGTGGTCCAATTCCCTGTACCTCCCGTCAGTCCCCTTATGCTACAGTCTAAGGAGCTACACTCTATGTCCGTCCGTTGCAGTTGTCCCGAGGTATCCTGCGTGTCTAGTGTGTCCCTAGGCAGTAGTGACAGAGAGTGTATGAGCGGTGTCGTAACCCGTGCGTATACCCAGGGACCATTTTAGAGTTGCTTAAGTAGCTCCCGTACCTGTTGTCATAACAAGTTGCGCATTTGTTTGTGGTGGTTCAACCCCCTAGTGTGCTCAGTCAACGAGCGTGTATGTATGCAACTGTTGGTCAGGGAGCCCATTGTATAGCAAGCGGCCATGTGCTCGTCCATTCAAGCTTTGCAAGGAGTTAGGGGCATGGTGGGAGTAAACCGGATTCTCAAACATATGGTGCCCTTGTGTGTCTATCTGTAGTGACCTATGTGTAGCTGCATATGAGATTGGGCGTAAGAGAGGTCAGTATAGGTCATCGTCTGGGTACAACAATATACATCAAGGCACTTAATAGCAACTTCCTCCGCTCCCACCCTCCCTCCCCCCTGGTCCCCCTCCACAAGTGAAAGTCAAGATTTCTGAGCTTGTTCAAACCATAAAGAGGTGCCCACCTTCAGGCGGCCCTGACCAGGGCAAATGCTAAGTAACAGTCTCCAGTGGGGCCATGAGTGCACCCCATCCACGGCCCCTGCAGATCCCCTGCCCCAAGGCAAGATCAAGCCGTGTCATCTTGTAATATGTCCAGAGCAAAACAGTTAGGGACTATCAAGCATCTGTAGGTGTTAGTCCCTTGCCCATGTCTCAGGGGCGATCAGGCCCCCCGCCCGCATTTCCGTGCCCATTTCCCCCCCTCCCAAGCCTCAAAACTTTAACCCAGAGTACCTGAGAGTGGGGCCATACGTCAAACCTGTTCATCTTAGGTTCCAGGAAACAATAGCGGGCAGCTGGCATCAACAGTGGGGGTCAGGCCAGCCCTGGCTATTCGTGGCGGTAGGTGATAGAGGGAGCTGGCAAGGTCAGATTGTCCCGTAGTTTCGCGTGACGGCTTACGGATATACTTGGGTGGCTGGCTTTATTCCTCTGGGGATGTCGGGTCCCCTCGGCCTCCTGCGCGCTGAACAGGGGGTGCTCTCATACCTCGTTGTCTAGGTCCCCTCTGCGGTCTTGGTTGCGGGTTCAATGATCCCAGTATCCAATCAGGGACAGGCGGTGAGGGAAGGTCCAATTCTCCCATAAAGCGCGGTACTTCTTCAGGCCATCTCAAGGTGAGCCATCGGTTTTGGTGTCTGGCTTGTAAAGCAAAGGGGAATCCCCATTTGTAGGATATGTTATGGTCTCTTAGTATGGTTGTGACCGGGCGTAGGGCCCGTCTGGCTTCCAGTGTCATGGGGGAGAGATCATTGTAAAGGGAGACATGAGCCCCTCGGAAGGGCCAGGTCTGCCGCTCCCGAGCTTTCAGCATTATGGTATTCTTCACCGGGAATGAGTGTAGGCAGCAGATTAAATCTCGTGGGCCTTCTTCTACCGTGCGGGGTCGCAGGGCCCTGTGCGCCCTCTCAAACTCTATCTCCGTTGGCGGGGATGGCTGTAGGAGGGAGCAGAAGAGTTCAGTGAGTATTGCCACTGCGTCCTCCGGTCCCTCTGTCTCTGGGACTCCGCGGACGCGTATGTTGCATCGTCTGCCCCTGTTGTCCACGTCCTCCAGGTGTCGGCGCACAGATAGTAGCATCTCGCCCTGGTGGGCCACGGCCGTATCAGTGGCTGCCACGCGGGCTGTAAGGGCCTCGCTCGCCTCCTCCACTGCGGTGATGCGGCCCGCCTGTGAGGTGAGCTCTGTACGGATCCCCGCTATCTCGGTGCGCAGGGTTTCCTGGATTGCGGTGGTGATGGCCTGGAGATCAGATTTGGTCACTGCTGAGGCGGTTAGATCACGCAGGGAGCTTTCAATGCGGCTCAGCGCCGGTATCTCCTGTTCCGATGCGGGGGACGTCGCCATTTTGGGGCTGGAGGAGCTTCCGCTCGATCCGGCTTGCGGCTGTAAAAAACCGTCCAGTGGTCTCTGTTGCGAGTTCTTAGGGGTCTGGGTATGCTCCGGACGTTTTGTGCGCCCCATTAAGCTTGCCAGTCTGTGCGTATTTTGTGCAATTGGGGACTGGTGGAGCGGAGCTCTCTCCTCACGCGGCCATCTTGGCTAGAGCCGGAACCGGAACCCCCCGGAGTACACTTTTGTGTGCCTCCCATACTGTCATATCAGATACGTCTCCCGTCTCATTCTCGGTGAAGTATGTCTGTAAAGTGTCGGTGACTTGGGCCCTCAGTGGGAGGTCGGTTAAAAGGGAGTCGTTGAGTCTCCACGTTGTTTTCGTCGGTCTTATGAGGGGAGATTCGAGGTCTATCGACACTTGTCCATGGTCCGACCACGTTGCAGCGTGTATGGATGCTCTCCTAAGTCTTATTAGAGCTTCTTGTTGCAGAAGTAGGAAGTCTATCCTGGAGTATCTTTTGTGTATTGTGGAATAGTGAGTGTATTCTCTGTCTAGTGGGTTCAGTGTTCGCCAGCAGTCTACCAGGCGTAGTGTTTTCAGAGTGTGGTGTATGGTTCTTATTTCTCTCTGTGGGATGCTGCTGTGTCCCGTTGAGGAGTCTACTTTAGGATCTAGTGTGACATTGAAGTCTTCTCCCGCGATCAAAGTTCCTTCCGTGAAGTCTGTTAGTGCCTTCAGTGTGTTCTTGAGGAATCTAGATTGATTGTTGTTGGGGATGTATACTGTCGCGAACGTGTAACATCGTCCTGCGATATTCCCCTTGACGAAGGTGTATCTGCCGTTGTGGTCTATAAGGCGATCCTGCTCCTGGAATTGTAGACGAGCTGCTATCAGGATCGCGACCCCTGCCTTTTTCGCTGTAGGGTGGTTGCCGTAGTAGTTAGTGGGGTAGTGTTTGTTCTTGAGTGTCGGGGCCGCTCCTTCTCGAAAGTGAGTTTCTTGGAGAAGAGCTATTGCAACCCTCTCTCTCTGAAGTTCCCTCAAAAGATTAGTTCTGCGTTCTGGGAGATTCAATCCCCTGCAGTTTTGCGTGATGATTTTTAGCGGGTCTGGTCTGTATGCCATCTTGTCTGTATCTCTGCGCAATGGTGGTGTCTCGTCGGGTACCAGGGTCCCCCGTCCGCGTCCCGCTCTCTTATGGACGCGGGAGTCGACCAAGGAAGCCCGATCTCGTAGCTTAATTCCTGGGTTTTTAATGCGGTTCGGTACCTCTGCGCCGTCTGGTGGTTGACTCGAGGCAGGCGCGACGGCCGGGTCAGGAGTGCAAGGGGGGGGTGGGATGTTCGGGTGGGTTGCCGGGCTGTGGTCGTGCGTGAGGTGGCTGGCGTTCATGGGGCGTTGGTATCCGCTCCTGTGTGGTCTAGGGGAGTTGTGTCTGCTCAGGCTCAGTGTCTTTCGGTTACGTTAGACTCCGAGCCTGGTCCGTGTGACGGGGGTGTGTGTTTCTTATTTGGATGTTGGAGAGTAGGATAGGTGTGGTGTGCGTGTCGTGGTGATGTAAGGAGGTGGACCTCTCCGTGGAGAGGGAGTTCGTGTGCCTACGGTGTCGGTCGGAGGTCACCCCGAGATATATCCCGGTGGTGTACCAGTCGACCTCCGTAGTATCAAGCGTGCGCACCGAGAGAGGTGGGTAGCGCGTCTGGGCCCTTATCCATTTAGGCTATGGTGCCTGTGTGGTATATGCGGTGTTAGTTGTAGAGTTGACACTTGAGAAAGGTTGTGTATCGTTAGTATGGTCTGTTAGTTGTGTAGGGGTGTGTTTCCGTTTGGGGTTGTAGCGTCCGTTCACTGTAGTAGAGTTGTTATATAGTCATCACTAATGCCATTTGTGTGTGCTTGTAGTGTTATCAGCACTATGCCTGTTTGTTGCGTCTTTTCGGTGTCGCTGGTGTCGAGTGGGGGGGATGTACCTTGAGGGTAGTTTGCGTGTAGTCAAAGTAGGGACTAGAGGATATCTCTTCGGGGTGTGTGCAGTATGGGTCCTCTTCACATTATGTCTGGGTCGTTACATCTGGATCATGTTTATGTATTTATTTATTTTTATTTTTATTTTTTTCCCCTCTTTCCCCCCTCCCCCCCATTTCCCCCCGCCCCGCCTCCCGCCCCTTTCTCTACACCCTCACCCTGTTCACTCTGACGTTCATATTTCACAGCCTCCAGGGGGTGGTGGGATGGCCGTCTGCCCAGTGTCCTCCCGTCATCAGTGTGCCATCTAAATGAGGCACTTGTGATTGTGTGTAGTGTAAAGGCCTCTTTGGGTGTATGCTGTCTGTACATGTCAGTCCCCTGGTAAATAACACAGAGTGAGATTGCATATTCTAGCCTTTCAAAATAGGTTACTCTCAACATTTATACAGTAAGGAGCAGTCTCGGGCCTCAAAATCAGCTATAGATTCTGTACGGAATCAGTTCTTCGTCTTCACGAGCGTCAATGCTGCAGGCGGTCTCTAGGACCCGATCTCTATGTCCCCAACCCTCCCCCCTTTAATCCCCCTCCCCAATAGGTCTTACTCCCCTGCTTTGTTTTTCCTCCCGCCCCTCCCTTTTCGTCCCCCTTTTTTTTATTTATTTTTTATTGTTTAGAACCCTTTTGTATTGTGGAGGACCCATTTGCTAGTGAGATATCCCTTAGTTCGGTCTGTCCCAAGGTGAAGAGTGGTGCCTTCCCGCACCCGGGGGGTGTCCCCTCCTTCAGTCTCGTGTCAATGTGTTAGCTACCCAATGTCAAAGTACCTGATTCTTGGGGTGCAGGTTTGCATCCAGGCGCTTCTCCAACGTGGGCTCCAGCTGTCTGTGTTGTCTCGGAATTGTGGTCAGGTAGTGGGTTATTCCTCCGGGTTGTTTAGATCTGGTCGGTGTCGCGGAGCTTCACCCGGGGAATTCCATCTTCTTCGCCTTGCTTGTCGCTGCGGTTGTGGTCTTGGATCCAGCGGCATGAATACCCAGTTCGGGACGGGGGTTGGCGGCAGGTTCAGGCGTTGTAGGAATTGAGGGATGTCCTCTGGCCATCGTGCGGAGACCCATTCGTTATTATAGCGGACTGTGATGCTAAATGGGTAGCCCCATCTATATTGCATATTCCTCTCCCTCAGGATGGTGGTAACCGGTCTCAGGGCTCTTCTAGCTTCTAGGGTCATAGGTGATAGGTCATTGTAGAGGGATATTTCTGTGCCCCTGTAGTTCCAGTGGGCCCTGGACCTAGCTTTCCTCATGATCAGATCTTTGATGGCGAAGGAGTGTAGGCAGCATATTATATCCCTGGGGGTCCCTTCCGTGGGCCAGGGACGGAGTGCTCTATGTGCCTTGTCAAATTTAATAAGCGCTGGTGTGTCCTCCCTTAAGATGATACGGAATAGGGAGGTGAGCATCTCCTCTATGTTTTCCCCCTCTGGAGATTCAGGTATCCCCCTTACCCTGATATTGTTGCGGCGACTGCGGTTGTCCTGGTCCTCCAGCTGTCGCCTCATGGCCAGTATGAGAGTGCCTTGGCGTTTAAGGGCCGTGTCTGTGGCTGCAGAGTGGTCTTCAGTGGTCTGTGCCCACTTTTCTACTTGCTGTATGCGGTGTTCCTGTGCTTTAATTTCAGCCTTCAGGCCGGTCACTTCAGCTTTAATTACTTCGTGTAGGTTGTTTGTCAGGTGGGTGAGGTCATCCTTTGTGACCATCATCATTGCCATGCGTTTTAGTTCTGCTCCGATATCTGCCAGTGTAGTGGTGTCGGCAGTGGAGCATGTGGATGCTGGCGAGGTCGGCGCCATTTTGGATGTCGGGGAGCTGGGGTCCGGGCCGCACGGCGCGTGGAGGTATTCGTCCATTGGCCCTGTTTGCGACCCTGAAAAGGAGGGTTTGGGGGCCTGGGGTAGGTCCCCTCTCTTTGTGCGACCCATTGGTGGCAGTGTGTGCAGGTTAGTAGTGGGTTGCTCCGTTCTGTGTGCTGTCGTGGAACGGAGTACAGTGCTTAGGCGGCCATGTTCGTCGGAGCCCAGGCCACGCTTTTATTTTTTAACGATAATAATAATTATATATATATATTTAATCAGTATCAGTCTACGTGTAATTTGATATTAATATATATATAATTATATATATATTAATAGTAAAATACACCTATACAGTGTACGTGTGATCTAAGTATATATTATTTTTTTACACTTTATTAATTTATTATATTTTTATTTCCAGCCAGCAGGGGGACTTCCTGTCATTACAGGCAGCCCCCCTGCTGGCAATGCAGGAGGCAGCTATCCCGGCCATGTGATTGTGAGGTCGTCACTCTCACATGGCCGGGGGGGACCGGAGGAGGAAGATCTGCCGCGGGGGGCTCCCTGGGCTACCGGGTAAGTAAGGAAAGACCGGAGGGTTCACTATTACGCCCGGCGGCGTTTAGAGCCGCCTAAAATAGGGCGTAATAGTACGCCCTCCGGTCTTAAGGGGTTAATTAACCTAGTACTTTCCTATAACATACATAAAAACAATAATAAATAAAAAAAAAACAGTACAGACTAACAATTTAGTAAAACAACAAACAAACATAGATCTCTATTCTTGTGCTGGTTTTAACTCTGGAATCAAATATCTGCAAGCTCTTAAATAATTTGCACCAAACACAAATAACTTTAGTAGTTATATTCTGCCTTTGAGTGTTAACTCCGCAGTTTGTAGTTGAGGCAATTGGGAGTGGCTCAGGTGTCTGTATTGGTCTTTCACACTGAGTCCTAGGGGAAAAAAAAGGAGAGGGTCAAATCTGAACTCCTCTCTCTGCCTCTCACAAGTCAGTGTAACCCCTTCATGTGTGGATACCTCCTTACGTTACATCTAAGAATAAAGCAACTTCCTTCAAAGTACTTTTTTCTCTAGCAATTACAATTGCAGCTGAATCTAGATCTTATAATGAATACATACAATAGGTGGAACACACATCTGACGATTCTAGAAAATAAAACACAAACTCATAGTATAATACTGTTAGGTAGAAGTGTAATGGATAGTAATAGAGCAATGGTACTCACAAGCCCAGAGCCAGTATAACATATGGCTCTTATGTGAAGTGTAGTGGGACTCTTAGTGG